GAATGGCTCACCAACGGCCCAAAGAATCTATGCTTTTTTGTAACCTTTTCCAAATCCATAGCCAGGCAAGAAAGAAATAAAGACAGCCAGTCAGCCAAACAGGTTTCCGATTGACATGCCTGACCCAGGAGGTTCGTTCTAGTTCAGCAAAGCCGACAACTTCAGCTCCTTGACAGCAGGCACCTCCTTACCCTTGCCCACATTGGCAGTGGCCGTCACGCTGTCCCAGAAGACGCTCTGCCCGCCGCCGCCCATCCCCAAGTGTTCCTCGCCGGTACCAAACCCGCCGACATCCGCGTTCTCGAGCTCCCCCTCATTTGCCACCACCCCCTTGGACCCGTCATTCGCCGCCACCAAAGCGCCAAACACCTCCTCGCGGCTTTCCGTGCACAGCTTCAGCACCTCCTGCATGGCCTTCTCGATGGCCGCGGCGCGCTCGCGCATGGCGCGGCGCAGCAGCGCATCGACGAGCGCCTCGACCTCGCCGACGGTCGCGTTGGCGCGCTCCAGGAGCCGCCGCACGCTGTTGACGAGGTACTCCTCCTCGTAGACGGTGCCCTTCTTGCCACGGGCGCGCTTGCGCTCCTCCTTGCGCCGGGTCTTGGACGTGTGGCGCGACGAGGTCGTCTTGCCGGTCTTGCCCGTGTTGCCCGTGTAGCGGGTGAACATGGAGCGGCCGGCCAGCGTGGATGCGTCCGTCGGCGCCAGGGAGACGTTGTCGGGGATGTCGACATTCCCATCCCCGCCGGCGCCGCCCAGGGTGGGGTCGCCGCCGAAGTAGGCCAGCGGGTCCGTGGCGCGGCGGACGCGCAGTTCGCGGATCCGGGGCACCTGCGCGTTGAGCTGGGAGCGGAAGTCGGCCAGCAGGTCGGTCATGGCGCCCATGGCGTCCGAGAGTCCGCCGTCGACGATCTCCGGGATCAGCGCCTGCTGGCCGTGCAAGGCCAGAAGGCGCGTCGCCTCGGAGAATTTGGACGCGCGGCAGAGGAGGCGCGCCGCCGTGGGGATGTCGCGGAGGTGGTCGGCGTGGATCTGCGCCGCGGCTACGTAGTCCTTCGTCTCTTCGGTGAGGGTGGCGGCCAGGGTGCTGGCGTGCGTGGCGAGTTCCTCGGCGGGGAGGGGGACCATCGTGGCGCAGTAGATGGACTCGCGCCAGAGGTGTGCCAGGTGGTAGCATTTGTATGCGTCGGTATAGAGGGAGAGGGATTCGTAGGCTGGTGAGGGGGGTTCGGTTAATTCAGGGAAAGCGTCCGAGATTGTGCGGGGTTTGATTCACGTACCAATTCCTGCTTCCTTGTACTTGGATTGATCGAACAGGTAGTCAGCGTAGAGGTGACTCATGTCACGTAGTTGCTCGGCTTGGTATCTGTACAGATCGATGGCATCCTTATAGAGCGTGTGCTTGATGGCGTAGGCACGGAGCTCATCATGAGCGTTCAGGGCATGGAGGTGTTTCAGGGCTTTAGAAGTGCGTCCTAGGTAATTATCGATCTCGAATTGGCGTCGGAGTTCCGGCATCTGTTGCAGCTTTCTCAGGAATGGAAGATACTCGCGGGGGTCCTGCGTGCTGTTAGCTCATATCGTCGTGAAGGGAATCCGAGGCACCGACTCTCTGAGCTTGTTGGGCAACAAGTAGCGTGAGTTCGAGGTCATAGAGACCCAGTGCATTGTCGTACAGACGGTTGGCATCTGTCAAGAAGCACATATGCTCTACTGCGTCGTCGGCTTGTTCGGAGCTTTCCTCTGCTATGTAGTCAGTATTTGCTCCCAAACGTGAGAAGAACAGTGTCATACCTCTCAACCGTGCAACCAGCTGAAGACCGGCCTCAAGGTCAGGCGGGGACTTGCAGACATGAGCAGTGATCAAATTGTGCAGGTTGGTATCCAATCGCTTCTCAAGAGTAGTCAGGAAAGCATCGCAGATCCGGTTAACCTTACTGCTCTTGCTCGAGGGAGCGGATAGAGCAGCGAGGGCATGATTTTCGGTCTTCTTCTTTAGCGTGTCTTTGTACAGTGTCTGCGACACATCCTCCTCACTAGACGCAATTGTCAATCGTATGCTTCGCTAGGTGAAGTAGGATTTCCATACCTCAGACGAGAGATAAACTCGTCGATAAAGTCGATTCGCTTGACCTGATCAACGAAAAGTTGGATGCTCTCCATGAACTGCTCGGGGGCATAGTCATGAATGATATTCATGTCCACCATCTGACTACGACAGGTCAGGAACGCTGCCCGATAATTCTTGCGATCAATGAATGACCGGATACCGGCGAGTACGAGGGCCCGAGGGTATATGGTTTCGATGTTGCCGCGGGGCATTTGTATAATGACAGCGAATGTCGAAGGCATGACCGTGACCAACCGTCCTCCGCGCTCGATGCTTCTGCAGCGTTCATCCGTTTCCGGGGTATCAGGAGGTACATCCATTTCTGAAACATGGGCGTTAGTTATTGTATGGTGGGAATGGAAGTGGACTTCCAAACCTTCTGCTCTCGTCAGGTGGACGAATTTGATCAGGTGTAGGGAGGTTGTGAAGACGATATGGGCTTGTGTGAGAAGGAAGGAAGTGCAGTTCTTGGCAAGAAGTGTTTTGTTGGCATACAGAGCCCCGGACTTGGTCATAGAGATGAGAAGAGTCTTGTAGAATATTAGTGATCAGTGATACATGGGATCTAAATGGTGGGTATACCTCATCTTCAGAGATCTGCACAGCTTGCGCCCAGTACGTCTCGGCAGATGGACTTTGGCTCCATGGCAAAACTTCGAACTGGTTTGGGGAAGGCATTGAGATGTAGGAGTAGGTGATCGGGTGGTTTGGTCCTAGATTGTGAGAGAACCAGAGCGATTCATGCCCGAGAGATGCGAACATTGACATGATTTGTTCCGAGTCGGCTGCTTGGTAGGCAACCTTAGTCTCCCGAGTCTCGAGCGTAGTCCGCTCTATGCAGGTGTTGTTAGGCCCACTGCTCTTGAGCACGTAGACTTCAGTCTCATTAATGAAAACGATCTGGCGGGGTCGACTATTCGGTGCATCCGAAAGTGGATAGCTGGACTCAAGTATTGGGACAGGGACTGGTCTAGTTTTGAGGGCCCAGATAAAGACGGAGAACCGATCGTTCTCAAGAATAGCAATGCGCGTTCCTGACTTGCTGAATGCCACGTCAATGATGTTTGAATCAAGTGTCAATTCATTATGGGCCATAGGGGGCGGAACACCGGCCAGCCTCAAGGGAGTCAGCTTCAACTTTTCTGTCGTACGTCAGCAGCTTGAAGTCATAAATGCAGGGCAAACACATACTCCCGTCTACAACACCCACGGCACCAACATCAGCTGGGCTTGTAGTGGAGCCATGGGCGACGTCAAACACAAATTCCACGTCCAACATTGATTCTACCCGGTGATTAGCATATGACAATCCACGAATTGAGGGCGTACCATACCATGAGCGCCAGCAAAGAACCGCAAGGCCTTTTCTTGATGCCACGTGAAGGTAAAAGGAGTGGCGTAATCGAAGTTACTGACGATAGGGATCTCTTGCTTCAAGTAATAGTGGTAATTGCCCATTGTCCAGAATTGGACACGATCTCTGAGCCGGACAGCGAGAACAGTCGAATCGACGTTCCAGCTCAGAGAGATTTCCGAAGCCCACGTCGAGCGCTCTTCCTCTGTAAGACGAAGAGTGAACTCGCCGTGGCGCAAGCCGTTTCTCTCGAAGAATACAACATCGATTCTATTATCGCGTCTCTGAATGCCGGCAATAAGATTACCATATGGCCTCCAGCTAAGGGCACCTTCTAGGCCATCGACTGGTTCACTGATACTGTCTAAAGCACCCTCACGCGAGTAGACTCGAATCGCGCGGCGCACGCCAGCCTCAACACTGTTCACAGCGACATAAGCACCGTCTCCGCGCCAAGTGATGGTCGTTCTTCCGTCATCATTGGCGCTCAGCTTGCCCTCGTCCACTTTCTCTGGGACGGTAGGATCACGGAGGGCCTTGGCCCGTTTGCCTTGGAATTGAGTCTCGCGCTTGCCCCAGCCCACGGAGACATGCTGGGAAGCGTTGAGGTCTTCTTGTGTGAAGGTGATCTCGGCCACATTATCAAACTCTCTAGTCATGTACAGGAAAGTGTTGGCTCGAGTAGTCAAGGCCAGAAGCTCCTCGTCAGGCGACCAAGCGGCGGCTGTGATACCAACATCAACCGAGCCCACAATCTCAATCTTGTCCTCGCCGGGGAGAGGCTCTTCGCGTACGATGACAATATCACCACCTTCCAGAACCAGGCAGGCAGTTAGGTTGTCTGCGAAGTAGTGGAGGGACAGTACGCGATCGCATTCCAGCTCGGGAAGCGGGCATGGCGCATCCCAGGATGCGATGCACTCGAATACATCGGCTCCGACAGGCTCTGAGAAATGGGCGTCATGACGCTTTCTCCGCAGCTCGATAACTGCGTTATTTGCTGTAGGACCAAAGGTACAAATGACTGCGTCCGAAGCAGTGTCCCAAGCTGTCGCTGTCAGGGGGAGCTCGTTCTGCAGTTGCACCTCAGTGAGGCGCACGATTTTAAGGTTGCGCATCTTCGAAATAGCAAATCTTCTACCCCGCCGCCATTAATCGACGGCCGCTGGAAGGTATTGATAATCCTTTTATTTTTTATTTTTTTGGCGAGAAAAAGAAAGATAGAAAGGAACAACCGACTGGAAGTGAAAAGGTCTCAGACGGCCGTCATAGAATCTAGATCTAGACTAGACTCGAGAAAGAATGGTGTTCTGTTTCTGGTTCTTGCGTTTGGGCGGCGGAGCGGTCGCGGGCACACCAATGATTCTGAGTCGACAATTTAATTTTCCTTTCCTAGACGGATTTCGACCAATGACTTCATCCATATTCTAATAAGGTATCAGACAATCCGCGGCACTGCACCAACAACCTCCATGATGCTTCTTACAACACTGGAGACCTATAATCTAAGCATTTCTCTACATAAACTTAGGATGTACTTAATGCCAGAGATATTATTCTGAATTAAAACCGTGCTCAATTCCTCAACTTTATACAAATTTCCGAAAACATCCGATCTAGGATACACACTCGACCGCTGATCCCCCGAATCCCACCAATTTCCGTTGCGCGTGAATATTGAACAGCACAATAGGGCGCTTAGCGGGTCTTGTAGGTCTGCCAGACTGGAGTGAGAGTTAGACGATTGCTGAAGGGACGTGCTTGTGGAGCAATGGGTGACATACCAGCAATACCGAAGGGAGCACCGAAGCCGGTGACTAGTGAATGGAGTTAGTGACATTGACCCATGAAAGCCGTTCTCATCCGGCGCGAGGGGACTAACTCATAAAAGCCCAGTATCTCCAGAAGAAGTACTTGGTGAGGGGGTTGAAGGGAAGGTTGGAACGGGGACCCTCAGCGTAGTGGTAGGGGCTGCCGAGCTGGGCACGGGTGGTGGAAAAGCCACGACGGGCGACGAAAGAGGTGGCCATTCTGGCGCGGAGAGCGGAGGCGGCGTACATCTTAAGCAGAGTTAGAGTCAGTTGTTCGATGACCACGGACTTGCAGGCAGTTACGCACTTTGAGAGAGATGGTAGAGCACGAGTGTCAGGGCAATCTTACTGGAATCAATCAACGGGCGGAGGAAGAGCCAGCTGGAGGAGTGGAACGATACTCCGTCGCGGCTGCCCTCCGGAAGTGCAGTCACGTGTTTGTCTATCTAATCGGGTAAGTTTCACCGGCGGAGAGCTGCTGCTGCCCGCCCGCGGCTTTCATTGTGTTAACCAAAAATTTTGGGGCCGATCGCCTTTAACCCAACTCTTCTTCGTCTTGGAAGAGAGAGAAGCGTCGCAAGTGTCCAGGTCAGTCTCCGGTCTTGCTTTCGTTGATCGGCCACCATGGATGAGCTTTTCGACGTCTTTGACGACCAGCCTCAGGCTGTCAAGCCGGCTGAAGGAGCACCCAAGAGATCAAAGAAAGACAAGAGCAAGAAACGGCAGGTCAATGGCGATGTCAAAGCAACCGCCGCCGCAACCGCCGCTACGGAGGATATCGACATTCCCGACGCCCCCGACGCCCAGGTCCCTCCCCCCGTGGACGAGAAGGGACCCGAATCAGAAGAAGAGAAGGAAGCCAGCCCTGTTGCCGACTCAAATGAACAACCCGATGCGAAACGTCCGCGCCTCGCGACAAAGGAGGCTGAGCCTGTCTTGGTCGATTCATTCGAGACGGAGCAGGAGCGCGAAGTCGCAGGAGCCACCGGACTGCAAGCTTCGGCCGATTCTGCTTCTTTGAAGTTATCCCACCAAGTTCGACACCAGGTCGCCATTCCGCCGAATTATCCCTACGTGCCTATTTCCCAACACAAGCCGCCGGAGAACCCTGCCCGCGTATGGCCATTTACCCTCGATCCTTTCCAGCAAGTAGCTGTCGCATCCATTCAGAGAGAGGAGAGTGTGCTTGTCTCCGCCCATACTAGTGCCGGAAAGACCGTGGTCGCCGAGTACGCTATCGCGCAGAGCTTGAAGAACAACCAGAGAGTCATCTATACCAGTCCGATTAAGGCGCTGAGCAACCAGAAGTTCCGTGAATTCCAACAAGAGTTTGGAGATTGTGGTTTGATGACTGGAGATGTTACTATCAACCCTACGGCTACATGCTTGGTCATGACCACCGAGGTAGGCGCTCTTTGGCTGGAAAGGCATTCCGATGCAGTTCGCGCTAACGCAGCACATTTTCCAGATTCTACGTTCGATGCTCTACCGTGGCTCCGAGATCATGCGTGAAGTGGCTTGGGTCATCTTCGACGAGGTTCACTACATGCGCGATGCCAGTAAGTCCCACGGACCTGACGTTTGCCTTTTTCTTGCATATAACTGACAACTCCGCAGCCCGAGGTGTCGTCTGGGAGGAAACTATCATTCTCCTGCCCGACAAGGTTCGGTATGTCTTCTTGTCGGCGACAATTCCCAATGCCATGCAGTTTGCGGAGTGGATCGTGAAGATGCACAACCAGCCCTGTCACGTTGTGTACACCGACTTCCGACCAACCCCGTTGCAACACTATTTCTACCCCGTCGGCTCTGAAGGATTGCATTTGATCGTTGATGAAAAGGGTGTCTTCCGCGAAGATAACTTCCAGAAAGCGATGAGCAGCATTGCCGATAAGAAGGGCGATGACCCTTCGGATGCCATGGCTAAGAGGAAAGGAAGGGGCAAAGACAAGCGCTTGAACAAGGGCGGCCAGAATGACGAGAAGAGCGATATGTACAAGATCGTTAAGATGATAATGCTTCGGAACCTCAACCCTGTTATCGTCTTCAGTTTCAGCAAGCGCGAGTGCGAGAACGGTGCTCTTCAGATGAAGAATCTGTCATTCAACGACCCTTCGGAAAAGGAGATGGTCCAAACAGTTTTCGACAATGCTCTTAAGATGCTCTCGGAAGAAGATCGGAATTTGCCCCAGATTCAAAATCTCCTACCGCTTCTGCGCCGTGGTATCGGTGTCCACCACTCTGGGCTGCTTCCTATTCTCAAAGAAACCATTGAAATTCTGTTCCAGGAAGGTCTTATCAAGGCTCTGTTTGCTACTGAGACCTTCTCCATTGGCCTGAACATGCCGGCAAAGACTGTTGTGTTCACCAGTGTGAGGAAATTTGACGGCTTCAGTCAACGTTGGGTTACTCCCTCGGAATTCATCCAGATGTCTGGTCGCGCTGGCCGAAGAGGTTTGGATGACCGTGGTATTGTGATTATGATGGTTGGAGAAGAGATGGATCCTGCGGTTGCAAAGGAGATCGTACGCGGCGAGCAGGATCGGCTGAACTCGGCTTTCCACCTGGGCTACAACATGATTCTCAACCTCATGCGTGTGGAGGGTATTTCGCCTGAGTTCATGCTCGAGAGATGTTTCTACCAGTTCCAGAACACGGCTGGTGTTGCCGAGCTTGAGAAACGTATGGTCAATCTATCCCGAACTGTTTACTATCGTGCTAACTGATATCACAGAGCTTGCGGAATATGAACAGAAGCGCGCGAGCATGAAGATTGAAGACGAAGGCACCATCCGTGAATATTATGACTTGCGGAAACAGCTTCAGAAGTTCACCGATGAAATCAGGACCGTCTTCACCTACCCCGACTACTGCCTGCCGTTCATCCAACCTGGTCGCTTGCTTCAAGTGAAGCATAAGGATCACGACTTCGGCTGGGGTGTCGTTGTCAACAGCAAACAGCGCAAGGCACCGAAGGGCTCGAGTGAAGAGTACACTCCTCACCAGCAACACGTTGTCGACGTTTTGCTCCAACTCCCCGATGGCAACTCTGTGGGTACCAAGTCCTTTGAAGACATGCCATCTGGGGTGCGGCCGCCTAAGGAGGGCGAGAAGACATCTATGGAGGTCGTCCCAATTGTGCTTAGCTGCATTCAGGCCATCGGTAAACCGCGCGTCTTTCTCCAAAAAGACTTAAAATCCAAAGACGCGCGAAATTCGATGAAGAAAACCCTTGCTGAAATACACAAGCGTTTCCCCGACGGCATCGCTACTATGGACCCGCTTGAAGACATGCAAATCAAAGATGATAATTTCAAGAAGACTCTTCGTGTGAGTAGACTCGTCCTTGAAACCATGTCTGTATATCACTAATCAATCAACAGAAAGTCGAAGTCCTAGAGTCTCGCCTGTTCACCAACCCATTACACAACTCTCCCCGTCTAGCGGAACTGTACGATCAATATTCGGAGAAAGTGGAGCTTGGAAACAAGATTAAGGAGACGAAGAAGAAGATCTCCGACGCCATGTCTATCATGCAGCTCGATGAACTGAAATGCCGCAAGCGGGTCCTTCGTCGGTTCGGTTTCATTAATGAAGCCGAGGTCGTACAACTGAAGGCTAGAGTTGCGTGCGAAATCAGCACGGGTGACGAACTGATGCTCAGTGAACTTCTTTTCAACGGTTTCTTCAACAAGCTTACGCCGGAGCAAGTCGCTGCCGTTTTGAGTGTCTTCGTGTTTGAGGAGAAGACCAAGGAGACCCCTGCTCTAACACGGGATGAGTTGGCCAAGCCCCTCAAAGAGATCCAAGCGCAGGCTCGAATCGTCGCCAAGGTCTCGCAGGAATCCAAACTGGCCGTCAACGAGGAAGAATACGTCAATAGTTTTCACTGGGAACTGATGGAGGTCATGTATGAGTGGGCGAACGGAAAGTCCTTCTCTGATATCTGGTGGGTTCCTTTCTCTTGCTCGTGAATCGTTCTCCTGCAATGCTAACCTACCGTCTGTGCAGTCAAATGACCGATGTCTACGAGGGCAGCTTGATCCGAGTTTTCCGCCGACTCGAGGAGTGTATGCGCCAGATGGCTCAGGCAGCCAAGGTCATGGGCAGCGAAGAACTTGAGAGCACTTTCGAAACCGCCCTGACCAAGGTGCGCAGGGATATCGTCGCCGCCCAGTCCCTGTACCTATAAAGCACCATACTATCGTTGTTTCACTTCGCCCCCTCGATTGTGTCTTCTCTCGCTTCGACTTTGGTGGTTGGGCTGTTTCTTTTATTACCTTGGTGGTCGCATATCCGGCGTCAGGCTTCACAAAAAGGTTTATGTATGGCTTTTTCTTGCCGTTCTTCCGTTTCTCACATTGTTTTATGTCTACATATCCCTTCTCTGTAAATGAGGGTGTCAATCTTGTGCGACACTCGATTCTAGATGGGCGCAGTCCTCTTTACAATCCCAGCTGGCCGTTTCCCAGTTGATCTACGATCGACTTCGTCTTTTTTTCTTCTCGTCCTTCTATCAATCGAAACTGTAGCCACGATCAAAATGGGTAGATCGGATTGGGCTCTTTTTGAAATGTGTGGGGTACTTGAGGGGAGCCGACGAAGTTCGCCAACTAATCATGGATTGAATGGCAACAAAAAAAAAACCTCTTTGGCAGTCGTCTAGACAAAGGATACAGATGAATCAGTAGTGTCTATCAACAGTCCTTGCCCCACCGAGGGTGTTTACAACTTCTTTGAGTGAGCAACAGCCGCTGCCAACCAAAACCGAATCCCCCAGCAATAGCAGCAAAACCCGCAACAAAAGAATGAGGACCGTACGTGGGATCTGGATCGGAAGCTACATTCCTTTTTCTTTGACCTTGGTTCTAAGTAGTGATCTGAGACGGCAGGCATCCTTTGAGAGAGCCACTTGGAATCTTGTCCTTGCTGGCGTACCATTTCCCGTATCTTCCATCGCGGTGTATATTGCACAATATGTTTCAGATGCAGTCGAGATTCGAAGATTGAAAAAGAAATCCTAGGGACTTTCCGCGTATCGAATCGAACGCGGGGACGGGGTATTGTCCAAGCGTTGAGATGAGTGATATTTTGCGTACTGTACGTGTTGGCTAAGAGGTCGCATGACTGTTTCATACTCTCGCTCTCTCTCTCTCTCTGACTTGGAACTACTGGTGTAGGAATTGGTCTATTTGCGGGATGATCTTGAGAGAAAAGGTCGGTATGGGGGCAGACAGGGCTGCTTGACGGAGCTGATGCGTACATGCACTGTAAGTTACTGTAGATATCGATCTATGGGCGGGAATATCAACCTTCTTTTTATTGTTACGGTGTCTGACCGATGACAATGTCTAGCGTTGTGCCATGAATTCTTTAGCGTCCCTTGACTCCTCCGGTATCGGGTGGGCTAATCCTGAAATTTCAGTCTTACTGTTCGCAGAAAAATAAAGATGGGAGGGGAGGAAGGCAACCCCGCAAGGATGGTGGTAGATGTTGATGGTGAAGTTTTGGCGCAAGGTCGTTCTCTGCGTTGTGCTCTATCTACTGGTAACTGATCTAAACTCATCCACGTCGACAGTGCATTGCCTGTGTGAGGCTGACTTAAGTCCATTACTGGGGCATGTATCTATCCGAGTTTCAGGATCACGACTGGAGATAACTACAACATTGACGGAGAGTTTAGTTGATCTATTGGCGCTGCCGGTGGCCTTGGTATTGCTGGTTTTGGAGGGGGGGTTTGTTGGCGTGAGTGGCCATGAATCTATCTACTTCGCCTAAAATGAATGGTTCGCTTGCGAGAGACGCCAATGTGTTCATGACGGCTGAGGACCCTTCGAGTACAGTACCTGACTGGCTTGGTATCCCTAGAGCATGGTGGCAATGCTGTCATGGTCATATTTGGCTCAGATGCGGTTTGGTCTGAGTCAACCAGCGTGGTTAATTTCCGAGATGATCTAGATATGTGAGACTGCTTTCAGACTATTGCAATCGTGCAGAGAGCAGCTCTGTATGGTTCATGTAGGATTCAAGTGCTTCTGAGAGGAAGGAAGGGGTCCCAAAGAACGAAAAGAGAACTGAATCATGTCGGACAGGTTTTTTTTTTTTCTCTTCTCTCTATTGTTTAGAGTTGACGCTTGGTTGAGTTGTGGTCATGCGGGCGACGAGAACTCTGCGGATGGATTGAGAGATTGCTGCTCTACTGCAAGACCCCGGAAAATAAAACAATGCAAGATTTCCTTGCCACGGGGCTGCGATGCGGATTCTTGCAGACGATGATGAGTTACGGAGTACTGAGTAGTTGTTGTGTTAAAGGGAAGAAGGGAGGGAGAGGGTGGTGATACTCAGTAGTGATACTCAGTAGAATAGAATCTCTGATTAAAGAAAGTGCATTGAAGGCTTGCGTTGCCTCCCGCAACCCGTCCCGAGGCTCCACCGCCTCTCGCTCTTCTTTCTTTGCTGTGTGTCTCTCTCTCTCTTTCCCCACCAAGAAGGCAAACAGTCATTCAGGTTAACTGAAACCTTTCTTAGTCTTTCTTCTCCTCCACTTCATTCCCATTCCTGCAACTCCACCACCAACTACCACCTTCACCACCACCACCACCATCACTACTACCACCATCTTTTCCTTTCCCTTGCTTCTTCTTGCATTTCTTTTCTCTTTCTCCTACTTTTCCAAAACACTCCCCTCTCTTTCTCTCTCTCTCTCTCTCTCTCTCTCCGAGACATCTCCTCGTGCTCCTAGCTGACGACCTATCCGTCCCTCGTCCTCGTTTTCCCTCCGTTGGCTACGCTACGACCCTTCCTCTCCTTTTTCTCTCTTGCCCAACCTTAAGCGGTCGGTGGCCATCATCATGAACAGTTTGGTGGCTACACCACCTGTGCCTCCTCACCACTTCTACGAACCTTCTCGTCTCTCTCCTTCCCGTCCAAGTAAGATGAAATTCCTTATCAATCCTTTGAAATTGTTTTCCCGTGTACTGATTGTCCCCGTCCCTTTAGTGTCTACCCCAACCCACACGCCCAACCGCAAACGGAAAGCTGATGATGATGGCAACGATCACGATGGCCGAATGTCCGCATCTCCCACCAACTCGCCCGCTTTCACTCCTCGAACCCTTCCATCCAACCGACACCATATCAAGCGTGCTCGTCCAAATGTCAGCGGGCGGCCTCTCTCCCTGCCCCGCTTGCTAGAGACCTTGGATACCAATGCTCTCCGGGGCGTTCTCCGCTCCATGTGTGAGCGTCATCCGGCCCTGATGGATGAGGTCATTCATACCGCCCCGCGACCCAGCGTAGCATCCGCACTCCAGGTGCTTCGGAATTATCAGTCCAACCTTCAGTCATCATTCCCGTTGGGCGGCAGCTCTGAATCAGATTACGCCTACAACCGAGTCCGGCAGCCTTTGGGGAGTTTGTTGGACGCCCTCAGTGACTTTACACCACATTTCCTCCCGCCAAACGAAACACAACCCTCCGTATCCTTGAGCTATTTAGATGGGGCAACCGACATAATTCACGCTTTGCCCCGGTGGCACACACCTCAAAACAATCTAGAGCGGGACTCTGCGTACGACGAGATTTGCAAGGCCTGGATCTTGGTGATTCGGGAGGCTGCCAAACGTGGCGGTGGTATTCAGTTACAGTACGGTGGTTGGGATCAGAAACTGGCAAAACACAACCAAAACTCCGGCGGTAAACTGCAGGCAGCCGTCAACGAGCTCGGTTCCAGCTTAGGGTGGATGCACAGACCGGATGCCCAAGGCTATGGAAGCCCTGGAGGTAATGACCTTGGATCCATTCGCGAGCAACTCTTGTCGGGCACATACGGGCTCGGCACCCCAGTCAAGGTTGGGCCATGGTAATGCCGCCAACAATTGACTGCCAGCTTCATATTCTCCCATCTTCTTCCTCCGACCTACTCCAAGAACAACATCCTTCACGACGCTTCTTTTACCGCCCTCCCCATTCAGAGCTAGTGTCCGAAACCTCGACCGTGCAATGTCCACGTATGATACGATCACGATACTTTATCGCATGAAACTAGACTTGAGGGTCAGCTTGGCGTTTTGCAGTGTGCAAGCAAACATTTTTTTCTGTCTTTTGCTTTAAATGTGTCATACTTTGGGAAGCCGCCGCCTTCATCGCCTACTCTCGATCTAGATTGCCAGATTTCAGGCCCCGGGTTCAATCTTTTTTCTTTGTGTTCAACATGTTCCATGCATCCAGATCCTCCTTGCATTGATACAGTCCGGCATGGTTTTTCATCTTTCTTTCGAACATTGACTTCTTCATTCCTTTTTTGCATCCATGCGACTTCATTGCATTCATCTTATCATATCACGACGAAGCTTCAAACATTTTCGTTGACTGATCAACATACCTCGTTGTCGTCCCACAATCCTGTATACCCTTTTATTCCATCATGTTCCCTCAACTAATATCATCCTACCGGTGTCTGGCTTGTTCATTGGGGTTTTGCAAGGAGGCTTTCTCTACATTTTCTGCCGACCTCCGCGGGCCAAGTTCTACGTGTCAATCTAAACTAAGAAGCAACAAAGAGCATTCGTTTTAGCAGTGGTGGAGGCTTGTACAGTTCACTCGGAGCGAATTGGGAGAATTTCAATGCAAATGCAGGGGTTGGGCTCCATACATCTGTCCTAATCGGTTAGTCGACGTCCCTTTCGAGCAAAACCACAAATATTAAGCTGCATGCAGTGCCAAGGTAGCAGACACCAATTCAGAAGCTCAATTGAAGCTCGATGGTTTTAGTAGTTGAGATATATGGTATTTCTGTCTTAGCTGGGTGATCAGAGAAAACTTATCCAGGGTCGAAAACAAAAACCCTTCCATCGAACACGCATCTGTAGCTTCCTGTAGTATGTAGGTCAATGGTCCCTCCGCTAGTGACTCGTAGGTGAGTGAGCCTCGCTCCTCCTCAATGTTATGGCATCTGCGGGGACACACTATACAGCTCACGCCAGCGTCATCTACGATCCAATAACAAAGCAATGAAATCCTCGTGGACAAAGACATCTGCCTGTGCATTTATGTGTCCCGTGGCTGCGCCGTACAGAGCAGGAAGGAGAGGCCCGGGGCCGGGGGGGGGGGGGGGGGGGGGGGAAATACTATGTCGATCCCGCAGGGTACAGTAGACGGGTACATACACAAACAGGGCGCACACAGCATACGGGCCAGTTCTTTTTGCATTAAATAGGGAGGGAGGGAGGGAGGGTCCCTCGGGCCCAGTCCAGACAAAAGGGAGGGAGAGGAAATCGAACTCAAGACAGCGCACGTTTCACAACCCGGAACAGCCAGCCTGCATCTCCCCAGCCGCCTTGGTCTCCGGGCTTCTCGCAGACGGAAAGGACTTCCGATTCGGCGATGGAGATTGTGTCGGTGTCGTCTGCTCCAATTGATGGTGTTGCTGCTACTGCTACATGGGTCGATGAGGGGTCATTTTCAACGTTATCGGCTGAAGGGTGAGGGGGATGGTCTGCGATGGTGATGGTTCGGGATTCGACTACAGTGCCGTCATTGCCGGTGCCACCACCACCACCACCAAAAGAAAGCGGCCAGTCCTCGACGCCGAATAGGGTCCATTCGACCATGCGGTCGATCCAGCTGCCGAGTCCGAAGCCTCGCTCCCGCGTGAGGCGTTGCAGTTCTTGCTCGTCGATCTCGACTGACTCGTCGCCCGAGTCGAGGTACGGGTAGTCGGAGGTGAAGGAGGAGAGGTCGTCGTCGATCTCCTCTTCCTCGTCGAATTTGGCGTTCTCGTCGCGTTGGATGGAGGCCATCTCGGCGCGGATGCGCTCGTCGACGAAGTCGGGGATGAGGGGGCGGTTTTGTTGTTGTTGTTGCTGTTTTTCCTCGATCTTCTGCGTGCTGGTGCTGGTCAGACGGTCGGCCGTTCTGCTTTCGCGGCGGGAGGAGGCTGCGGTCGATGTTGCAGTAGTGGCCATGCCTAGACTGGTCATGGCAAGGTCGGCTCTACTGGCCACCCGGCTGCTGGGGCGGGACCGTGAAGCCCGTCTGGATCGGGAGTTGGCCGCGGCTGGTGTGGAACGTCCGGACCGGCCATGTCGAGGACTACCTCCGTGGGACCAGCTATGATGGTGGTGGTGGTGGTTGTGGTTGTGGTTGAGGAAGTCCAGGCTGAGTTGATGGTCGTCAGAGACGAGGCTCGTCGAGCTCTGTCGTTTCACGAGCCAGCTCTGGCCTTTTTCTTCGCGGGTCGAGGAAGCGAGTGCGATGCCTGCGCGGAGCATCCATTCCGTGTCTTGATGGTGGTTTGCAGGGTGACGGGTACGGGTGCTACGGTTAGTGTGGTGGGTTTGGTGAGGTTGATGCTGCTGCTGCTGATTATGATGATGATGGAGGGGGCTGCTCGCACTCCGGGCTTGTAGGTTGGGGTCGCTGGCGTGGTGGATGCGGCTGGAGCTCTTGCTCCGGGGATGGTGTCGCGTGCGGGACCCGCTGCGGGAGTGGGAGTGCGAAAGCACCCCCGGAGTGCCGGGCACGGAGAAGCTAGCCAAATAAGACCTTGCGGTGGGCGGGTCCGGGCTGTCGTGGTGGTTGTGGTGGGGATGGTTGAAGTAGTCTGGAACCTCTGCCTCCTCCTCCCCCTCCTCGTCGGCGAGAAATCGAGGATTCAATGGAGCGAGAGAGACATGGTGCAGAGAAGGATATGATCGTCGCGATCGAAAGGCGCTCTGGACTGGTGGCTGCGCGGGGACCTGGGTTTGCTACAATAGGTGATGGTGTTAGATGAGCATGGTGTAGGAAGGAGAAGGGGACGGAGTAGATTGCATCTCGAAGTATATAGATAGAGTGCTTACCTCCATCTGGCAGGATCCGATCGATTGGATCGGTGATAACTTGAGAGACTGGGATGAGAAAGTGACTCAAATGACAAATGTGGAGAGAGCGAGAGAGAGAGCGAGAAACGAAGGAATCGGAAGTTGGAAGGGAGCAAATGGAGTCCTTAAGAGGAAATTGTCGGCTCTCTGAGACTGGGATTAGCCTTGGCCCGCGCATGTGAAAATGCGGGCAGAACAAGACAGCCTGGAGGACAATGGCACCACCAACGATAAGTTAATCATCATGCATCTATCACTCCACCCTTCAATCAGTCGTTCCTACTTCAGATGGACCGAGGTCAGCACTCGGGATTTAAAGGCAGTCCTTACGAGGTGGTGGTTGGATCGGAATGGTAAAACCGCGTTGGCTGGGAATTGGTGCTCGTGTGGTGAGGCGAAAGTCAATCCACTAACTAATTAACCTACACAACAGTTCCAAGTTGTAACCCTTTCTATTTTTATGCAGGCAAGCTGCTAATCTACGGATTAGATCGCAACAGCTGGGACTACTCTATGTACTGTAGGACATAACTTATAGGTTTTACAGAGGAGGTGATTCATAGGCAATACGACTTCAATTACTTCATGTGCTTGCTTCACCATCAGCTCCTGACCAAGTCACTTGGACTGTTGTGTGCTATGGTCAACCTCATACCTCGTACAAATAACAAGTTACCTGTACTTGCAGTGGAACGCCACACCGCCCTGGCGAGGGAAGATCCGCTCTCCGTCGGCTTGCTTGTCCATCTTCCAACAACATCCTTCATCTTTCATCATTCATCATTGATTTTCTTGGAGCCGAGTTGACCCTACGTCTTTCCTTGGAGCTCAAGCTTCCGTATACCTGTTTCCCCTTCAATTTCCTCATTCGCTGGTGTCCTTAACTCCCTTCAGCCTCCTTGAAACCTGTAGCCATTATCTATCTCCTACCTTGTCTGCCCAGGCGCCTATCTGGACCCCCCCCGTCTCTTATCGTGGCACTGAGCTAGTCTTCCTTCATCAACCACCTCCACCACCACCAGCTCCGTCATGACGGACGAGGCAGCCAGGCCTCTGTTGGACGGTAATTCTAGGCCGGGCTCACTTCATCCAGTTCCTTCACCCAAGGATGGAAAGACACCTTCTCTCACTTATCAGGAGCCTCGACCGTATGAATTGTCCGATGAATCCGCTCCGCTTCTAGTCCGTCGGGATGACGATGAGTTTCTGGGGTACGGCGGGACCGACCCCAGACAACGACGTGCTTCCGATCTCTCGCGCCGCTCCCTCTCCTCGGACCCCTCCCTGAAGAAACGACGGGGCAAAATTCGATGGCCCATTTTCTGCGCCGTGATCTCAATCCTTGCGGTCGCTGCAATACTGGTCTTTGCTTTTATTGCCCCAGCAGCTGTAAAGGAGTACGTGAAAGATGCAACGGTCTTCAACCCCACCAATGTGTCAATTGAATCGACGACCGCTACGGGAGTCCGTGCTCGTGTACAAGGGAACCTGATCATTGATGCACAGCGCATCAAAAAGAGACCAGTACGGGATCTAGGTCGTTTCGTCACCTGGATTGGAAGAGAGGTCGAGACCGGAGAGGCCGAGGTGGAAGTAAATCTACCCGAGTACGGCAATGTCCTCGTCGGTACCGCCTCTCTGCCCCCACTCAACATCAATATCCAGAACGGCCATGTCAATCATGTCGATTTCATTGCAGATCTGGTGGCAGGCGATGTGGAAGGCGTTCGCTCACTAGCCCTGGACTGGCTAGACGGCAGACTCGGCCACGTTCGTGTAGATGGCAGAGCAACAATGCATCTCCAAACCGGCTTGTTGGATTTGGGCACACAGACGATCACTGACACGATCGTCTTGCAAGGTATGTATTGCGGCGTGAATTTCTCTTATGCTCCACAGCAGGCTGACCCAATCGACAGAGGGCGACTTTCCCCCGGTGCCCACGGTCAACGTGACCGGTCTTAACGTTCATGATGCGGACACCCCTGGAGATGAAGGAGCAATGGTCGTGGACGCGTCCGTTGCTGCTATGATCCAATCCCCTTTCTCCCTTAGCATCCCTCCACTTGGTTTCACAGTCCTGGTGCCCAACTGCTCTCCAGGGGACCCATACATCACAGTGGCCGGTGCCATGACCGAGGGATTCCCGGTCACTCCCGGCAAAACAACACTGATTAATGTCAGCGCCCTGATTCGAGGTCTTTCGGACGACTTGACGAAAAGTTGCCCAGGAGAAAAGAGCTCGCCGCTTGACTTCCTTGTCAAAAGTTACGTTCATGGCCGTGGAACAACTGTCTACGTCCGTGGAGCCGATGCGCCCTCCTTGGATACTCCAGACTGGATTGTGGACATACTAAAAAGTGTGACGGTACCGTTCCAGTTTACTGGCCATACCTTGGATAACCTTGTCCGCAATTTCACCATGTCGGATGTGCACTTCAGCTTGCCTGACCCTCTGGCAGAGCCGGACTCGCCTGAATCCCGTCCAACAGTCTCTGCTCTGGTGAAGGTCTTGATAGGGCTACCGAAGGAGGTTGGACTCGAATTCGATGTGCCCCGGGTCCGGGCCAATGCTGATGTGCTCTATCTCAACCGCAAGGTTGGAGTCTTGGATCTCAACAAGTGGCAGCCGGCCAACTCAACCTTGCTTGAAGATGTCGACGGTACCCCGGCAGTGCTGGTTGACTTTGCCATCAAAAACGCCCCGCTGAGGGTTACTGACGATAATGTTCTCACGGACCTTCTCCAAGATCTCATCTTTTCTGGTAAAATTATCAAGCTGAACGTGACAGCCAATGTAGACGCGGAAGTATCCACGGGACTCGGCATCCTGACGGTCCGCGAGATACCAGCTGAAGGAGAGGTTATCGTCAAGCGTTAGTCGCTTAGCTGCTCTGCACCATGAGGCTACTATCCAAACTGACTATTACTTAGCCCCGTACGGTGGCTCACTCGATGAATTCAAGCCACAGATTGAGTCGCTCAAATTAAGCGACACGACTGCGTCTTCACTACTCGTGGAAACGAAAGTCAATGTTACGAATCCTACGCCGTATGCTGCTGCAATACCCCTGATAGATTTCGTAATGCTCTTCAATGGCTCAACAGTGGCCCACTTGACGGCAAAAAACGCCAAAATAACCCCCGGATCAAACAGCGGTCTTCACGTGGACCTCTTATGGAGTCCCCTCGGCTTTGATGGCCCATCTGGTGCCAGCGCTGGACGGGACCTGTTGTCCCAATACATCTCAGGTAAGCTGAACCGACAACACTGCAGCCGTTTCGGTACCTGATTTGTACTGCTGTAGGCTCCAATACTACGGTTACCATACGGACACACGAGAAGAGTATTCCCGCACTACCAGGGCTAGGACGGGCGCTTTCAAGATTGAGTCTGGACGTGCAGATTCCTCGTATCCCTGTCCCTCGGGCACCGGGACACGAGCCTGATGCGGGCAACGGGTCCATGGGATTTATACAGGGAGCTACGGTAATTTCTACTTTCATGGAGCTTGTCCTTTTGTTATGACGATGATGACATTGGATGCCATGTAGCCCTTGATGTACGATGTCATCATCGCGCGGGCACATCTCGGCTTGGTGAAACTGACTAATGCGATCTGAGTGCTCTTAGATGCACTTGTGGTCATCGACGGCCGAGTTCACACTGTCTTCGCCGTTCCCCAACACAACAATCGAGATCACTTCGATCGATGCTCAGGCGTTCTACCAAGCAGAGAGCGAGGAGGCAGAAGTCGGCTCTATCGACTACCGGATTCCGTTTCCGGTCCCTCCAGGTCTATCTGTGACTCCGCGATTGCCAGTAGATTTGAAGCTGGGCGGAATTGGCTACGATGCGTTGAGACGAGCCCTTGGCGGCTCTCTCCAGCTAGACGCCATCGCGAAGGTTGGCGTGCAGATCCAGCATTATAGGGACCGGGTGGTGTATCATGGCAAGGGCATCAAAGCAAAGGTGAAGCTGTGATACGAATTTCCTTGGTTCATCGGGCCAAGTCGGAGTTTGGGATTCGGGAGTTTCTTTTCGGCATAGAAATTTTGGGTTGGCATCGATACTGGGATGCTATTCAGGTCGCAAAAAGAACAAGTCAATGGCGCCTTGCCACTAGTTTACACTCATATCACAAGAATAGCAACGTTCCAATAGCTTACCGTAGGCCATGCCTAAGAAAGTGGCGCCATGTCTCAGCTGCCTAGTGACTATCTATTGAGTGTGATCGCACCTACTTCATTCGATGACTCATAGCCTGACCAGTAGGTACATACATATGGAGAGCTTTCATGACGTAACATTTCGGAAAGTTACCCAGCGCAAGCGAATCGACCAATTTACAGGGAAAGCAGTCTGCTTCGAAACATAGAGAAAAGGATACGGGTTGTTTTTTCATTGCAGGATATTGAACGTTGGATATTAGAGGAAGGACAATGTTTAGCCAGGGGGAAGGGTGCTAGCATCGACAACGTCGGCAGCATCCTTCTCAAGCTCCTCGGTAGGCTCAAAGAGAGGAGAACGGGGCAGGGCCATGAGACCGGTGCGAGTGGATTCGAGGACACCGAAGGGAGCGATGAGCTTCATGAAGGAGTCGATACGGGAAGGCTTAGCAGAACTGTTTAATTCGGATATTAGTTTCCCATTCGTCTTTTTTGTCAAAATGAAATTCAACTCCCCTCCCCCAAAACAAAGCAAAGAGGGAATGAAATGACTCACACTTCGACAATGCAGTTGTTGGTACTGATATCCAGCACCTTACCACCGAACTGGTGAGTCAGGCGGGTGATGGCGTCGAGATGCTCGTGCTTGTGGCGGAGGGCCTGACTGTGCGGCAGGTTGCGGGGGTGGAACTCGGTCTTCGCGATCTGCTGCTTGGCGTCGCTCTGGCCCTGCTCACCGGGGGTGGTGATCTCGCGGTGGTGCTGGAGCAGCTCCTCGAAGAACTCCGGGCCGAGGATGCTGACCTTGGCGAGGAGAAGCTCGCGCTGCACCAGCGCGGAGTCGGTGTAGTCCAGCACCGCCCAGACGGGGACCAGGTCGTCCAGCTGGCGGCGGGCCTGCTCGACGACGCCGTCCTGGCCCTGCAGCACGATGGTCATGCGGGACAGATCCTCGACCTCGGTGTTGCACACCACCAGACTGTCGATGTTGAAGCCCCGCGCCGCCAGGATCCCGGACACCCGGGACAGCACGCCCGGCTCGTTCTGCACCAGACAGTTCAGGATGTGCCGCTTCGGCGGGTTCGTCGGCACCGAGGGCGTCTCGTACAGGATCGACGAGACCGCCGTCGGCGCGTCCCATTGCGGCGACGCATCGTTGACGGGCAGCGGCAGCGGAGACCGGCGGTGCAGCGCCTTGTAGGCGAGCGCGGAGGTGGAGCTGGACGAGGCCCGGGAGGAAGAGGAGGAGGTGGTGGTCGTTGTGAATCGCGGAAGCGTAGCGGCCAGGCGCGAGGTGCGGCTGGCCACAGCCAGGAAGGGCGTCGATGACGCTGTCGCAGACAGCATCATGGGGCGCCGGAATGCCATGATCGCCTGGGGGGTAGAGCAGGCTTCAAGGGGCGGGTTATGGGAGGGCGAGGATGCAAAACCGGGGGATCATGAATTAAGTTTCGCAGTCATCGATGGGCATTTTATGTCGGGGCCGCCTTCCGACCTCGGGGTTGCTGACTCAGTCCTCCGTTCGCCGGTCGCTGCTCGCTGCGCGGCGCTTTCAACGGTCTTACCGCTTTGGGTCTCCCCCCGGCCCAGACTCTCGTCACATGATCTGCTTCGATTCCAGTGCATCTTTCCCCATTGGGAGTCTCGCTTTACTTGTACTCCGTAACTCTGCACATCTCTGGGATCGGTGGCTGATAATCGCTCTTATTGAATACCACTGACTTCTCTCTTGTTTTTCTTGGTGTGATCGACAGTTTGTGTATTGTTCACATGTTGTGCTGAGAAGACACCTACTTGCTACGTGAGTTACATGAGTCCTATTCAGCTGTACTCCGTACTGTGACTGCAGACTGACACTAAACTACGGAACTAGTCCTTAACTTACTCTTAAGGCACACCCACTCAGCTTAGCGTCCACCAACTGGACGCTCTTCTGTTCTTCAGCAACTCCACCGCCTCCCAGGAAAGTCCTTCGCAGACCAAGACTTCCCAGTAACCTTGCTTTTGGGCCCTATTTTAGCCTTCTTCTCGCTGCCTTCTTATTACTTCTTTGACGTCTCTCCTCATTCCATTCGCTGCGCTCCCTCCTTAAATCCCTTCAATATTCCAATTCTCTCGCCTGTGAACTCTCCGCTACACTCATGGAAGAACACCGCCCCAAACGTTCTCGCTTCGATCAGACCGAGCCTGATTCGCGGCGCCCGTCTCGCTTCGACCGTCGCTCTCGATCTCCGTCGTCGCGACAAACCGAATCTGCTCGAGCCCGCAGCCCCCTTAGTCGAGAGCCTCGCAGTCCCAGCGCAGACCCTGCGAAGAAATCCGATCCTGCTGCCGCTGCTGGTATGTTCGCAAATTGTCTGGCGGTGGAATCGCACAGTGCTGACATGGTTTGATACAGCCGCCGCTGCGGCTAAGATCAACGCCCAGTTGCAAGCGAAGAAAGGAATTCAGCATGTCGACGTTCCCCCAATTCGCTCGGTAAGCACATCCTTCACTCCGTCGGTCGCATACCATCAGTGAAGGAATCATCACACTGACCAGCCCCGGTTTGTTTAGTCCGGAAGTCCTATGCCCAAGTCCGGTTCGCCTGGGGACGTCGATGCTTCAGGGAAGCTGAACGCCGAAATCTACGTTGCCGATGGAGACTATATCAAGGACATCGAAATCAATGATTTGCGCAACCGCTACACGCTGACCAAAGGCTCTACTCAGAAGATGGTAATTACTCCTGTTGCACCTGCTGATCTTCCAGGCATCTTGTTCGCTGGCTGACCAGCCGGCCAGCCGGCGGTCATGCGTTTTCCTCCCTTTGACCCTCTGTTCCTTAGTGTTTTATGATTGTGACTAAAAACTTACCCAAGTCAAACGAACTTATACACAGCATCTCACTTCCCCTCTTTTGCATCTGCTGACCTCCACTGCGTGACATCTAGATTAAGGAAGAAACTGGCGCCGGTACGCCTCCATCTCATACTTTTATCAACTGTTGACTGCTCAAGAAGGAAGCTCATGATTGATTCTTTTCTCAAGATGTCACTACCCGAGGAAACTACTATCCCGATAAGAGCATGGCCACGGCTGCGGTATGTCTCGCCCTTGTTCCGTCTCTCAAGAACCATGAAAATCTGACATTCTCGATGCGTCTCATAGAACCCTCCGCTTTATCTTCACGTCACGAGCACGAACAAGGAAGGCCTCGAGAAAGCTGTCGCCCTGATCGATGAGCTCATGCAGAAGGAGCTTCCCAATTTGGTCGATGAGCGACGATTCCGCCGGCGAGAGCCGGAACAGGTAGAGCGTGATGAGTTTGGTCGTGTATGAGATATATCCCCCAGGTCCACATCTGCTTCGAAGCTAATGGTGTACAGCGGAAATGGCCTGAGGAACGCATTCCCGTTGACCTCGAGCCCATCCCGGGTTTCAACCTCCGCGCTCAGGTCGTTGGCCAGGGCGGCGCATATGTCAAGCACATTCAGTCGAAGACCCGCTGCAAGGTCCAGATCAAGGGCCGTGGATCTGGCTTCATGGAACCCAGCACAGGCCGAGAGAGCGACGAACCTATGTTCTTGCACGTCGCGTGAGTAGTAACAACCTTCCCTAGTTCTTGCTCACCACTCACTGGTATCACAGTGGCCCCGACCCCAATGACGTCCAGAGTGCCAAAGAGCTATGTGAGGACCTCCTTGCCAACGTCCGTGAGCAATATCAGCGCTTCAAGGAGAACCCGCCCCAGCACAGTTACGGCGGTTATGGTCAGCGTGGCGGCGACCGCTATCACGGAGGAGGTTATGGCGGCGGCGGCGGAGGCTATGGCGGCGGCTACGGAAACCACCATCACAGCAGAGACAACAATAGCCACAATTCTCCGTCTGCATCGGCGAGCCCATCCACACAGGGTGCCCTAGGGGCCTCGGGATCGGGTACTCCCAGCGCGGCGGACTACAGCGCCCAGTATGCCCAGTATTATGGATCGGATCCGTATGCAGCCTACGGTGGGTACCAGAACTATGTCGCCTACTACCAGTACTACCAGCAGGCCGCTGCTCAGCAGCAACAGCAGCAACAGTCCCAGAGCCCTGCTCCTCCCCCGCCTCCTCCTGCCGCCGAGGCTCCTCCTCCCCCGCCTCCGGGCTCTGGCTCCCCTCCACCCCCTCCGCCTCCAGGCGGCAGCTACAGTGCAGTAAGTGGTTACCTTCTGACGGATTTGATGAATTGAAATACTAACCATTCGATCCATCCTGATAGGTCCCGCCTCCCCCAGGATTGTGATTCTATAGCTAAAGCTACGCACTTGACAAGCAACCTAACAACCCCGTATACTACAGAGCCAGACTGATAATCACCACGCGCAGAACGTGCATTGAAGGAAACTACAGTCATTTTAGCTGCTTACCTACTTACCTACCCAATCAGCGCCTGCATCACGCCGAAATCTAGCTGGCTACTAAAACCGTCCGACTGACTGATTTGCTTGGCTAGTATTTGTAGTATCTGATATGTTTCACTTAACCTTCCTGGCTTGCCCTACTGGGTCACTTGGTGGTGGTGCTGCTACTCAACTTCTGTAGAGAGCCCCAAACCGGAAATTATAGTCCCTGAGGTGTCCTACGATGCATGACCATTCATTCTTGTTGACTTAGAAAAAGCTTATCCTATATTGATTTCTAGCCCATTATAGTTCTCTGTCTGTCTTAGACATCTAGACATGTTGATTGTCGATAAGCAGGGAACACGGTGTGTGTGCCTTAGGCGATTCGAGGAGAGAGTGAACGCAGCTTAAAGGCTTGCATCCGTTATTATTTAAAATATGGCACTAACCAGATTCTAGAGAGCCTGAGGGGGGCGTAATGATTTCGCTTATGTTTCCCCAGGCGACGTAGGGAGCGGAGCGTTGTCTCAGTAATCGCCGAAATCCCGATACCCCGGGAACATCTCCGGGAACATCTTCTGCATGTACCAGGGGACATGATTCATATCTACAAAGTCGTC